GCGTGCCTCCCCAACCCCCCCGTGTCATCCCGATTATGAGAACTATCCGTCAGGGAAGCTATTTTTAGAAACGGTAATAACACAAAAATAATAACAATTACTAGCATTATTACAGGATATAACGATAATGACATCAACACCAAAGTTGACACTACAATAACAATGACAGCAGGTATAATAAAAATAGCGATAACAACAGTAATAACCATAATAATTATGTGGTGTGTGTGTGTGTGTGTGTGTGTGTGTGTGTGTGTGTGTGTGTGTGTGTGTGTGTGTGTGTGTGTGTGTGTGTATGTGTGTGTATGTGTGTGTATGTGTGTGTATGTGTGTGTATGAGTGTGTATGAGTGTGTATGAGTGTGTATGAGTGTGTATGTGTGTGTATGTGTGTGTATGTGTGTGTGTGTGTGTGTGTGTGTGTGTGTGTGTGTGTGTGTGTGTGTGTGTGTGTGTGTGTGTGTGTGTGTGTGTGTGTGTGTGTGTGTGTGTGTGTGTGTGCGCGCGCGCGCGCGTATGCGTACGTGAGTACTTGGGTAAAACAAAAATATCGCATCGGTATATACGCAGCAAACAAGAAAGACACATTGTCAAAAGGACAGACAGACAAGTGAGAAGAGAGGAAGACATGTAATACAGCCTCGACAGCAGGTATGACCCTCACGAGCCCTGGCGCCAACTCACGACGTTATCACCCCCCCATTCCGTCATTCTCTCATCGAGCCCCATTGCGCCCCCCACTCTTCCCCTCTCTTTCCCTCTCTCTCCCCTCTAACCCTCACCCCCCTTCCTCCCTCCTTCCCTCCCTCCCTCCGTCCCTTCCTTCCTCCCTCCTTCCTTCTCTTTTTTCCTTTTTCCCTCCTTCTCTTCCTTCCTTCCTTATTCCATTCTATCTCTCCCAATATTCATTTTTCTTCTTCTTCTTCTTCTTCATTCCCCTCCCCCTCCTCTCTATTCCTCTCTCGTTCTCCCCCTTTTCCTACCTTTCCTTCCTTCTTTCCTCCCCCTCTCTCACCTCCCTCTCGTCCTCTCTGAAACCCCCTCACTAACTATTTAGGGAAGGGGGGAGGGGGTACGGGTTAAGAAAGTCGTGGTGGTTATGGTGGTGATAACCTGCAACTTGCAACTTAACATGAGAAACACCGGCCGCGAGTACTGGCCCTGGCACGATACAAGATATATCGGTGCTCGAGACTTTTTTTTAATAACGTGTGGGGCCTTGACACCGTTACTCTTACTCTCTCTCTCTCTCTCTCTCTCTCTCTCTCTCTCTCTCTCTCTCTCTCTCTCTCTCTCTCTCTCTCTCTCTCTCTCTCTCTCTCGCTCTCTCTCTCTCCATTCCCCCTATCACCTATCCCTGGCCACCCCACCTCTCTCTCTGTACCTCTTTCTTACCATATCTTCATCTTCACCTCTCTCTCTCATTCTATTAGTACTCCTCTTTGTCTGTTTGTCTGTCTATCTGTCTCTCTCTCTCTCAGACAGTCAAACAGAAAGCCAGACAGACAGACAGACAGACAAACAGGCAGTGAGACACACATCACCTCCCGTTTCTCTTTCCTTTCCTTTTCTATCTATTCTCACTCTCCCTTCGCGCCTTCCCCTTCTACTTTTCCTCTCGCCTTCTTTCTCCTTTCTACTTTTCTTCTCTCATTTTTCCATTCTCACTCTACCTCCTCACCTTTTTTCCTTCTACTTCCCCTCTCCCCTTTTCTCTCACCTTTCTATTTCCCCCTCTGCTTCTCTTTCCATTCTCCCTCTCCTTCCTCGCCTTTCCCTTCCATTTTCCCCTCTCCCCCTTCCCTTACCATTCTACCTTCCCGCTCGCCTTCTCTTTCCCTTCTACCTTTCCTCTCCCTTTCTCTTTCGTTTCTCTACTTCCCTTCGTACGATCCTAATCGTCGTCTCCATTTTCCATGACCCGCCCCTGCCCTCCTCTTATTATAGTATCCCTACCACCAACCCCGCCCCCCTCCCCCACCGCTCTCCACACCCGCCCGCCACGTACGATCAGAGAGGCCATTCATGTGCCAAGCAGTATCAACTCGAGTGCCTGCTGGTGCCTCCCGGGTGCCAGCGAGGGAGCGGCCGTCTGAGTGGCTGTGTGTTCGCCTCCACCTGTACGATTCCTGTATGATTTCACTGCTGGATCTTGTATACATCATTGTCTAAGGTCCTGGACGCTTATGACTGTTTCGCGCGGATGTTGCATAGGCCTACACGAAACATCTGTCAAACGATTTAAGAAAGCTTGCCAGAATCACGGCGAGAAAACGCAAGCTTTACATCCGGTAGATAAATTACATCCCTTCTAAGAACCCACTTACAAAAATATTTTAATCAATGAATATCATATTAACATGTAGTCATAATAATTTATGCGTGATAATGATGATAATAGCGAAAATAACATTTGTGAAACAGACAGCGATGAAAATGATGGTAACTGCATTTATCCGAAAATAATAATGATGATCAAAACCATGACAAATCCACCGTCCCAGACCCCCGCCCCTCCGTCTTCCCCGCCCGTGACTTACATCCTCGATGCGCGAAAAGGACGAAGGCCTGAGTCGCCTGGGCTCCACCCTCCAAGGCGACACGGACGAAGAAGTTGGACTCGAGTTGAAGGCCCAGTCTGGCACGCTACCGGAGGACGGGGAGGTGCCAGGCGTCCTCGATGGGGATCTCAAGGGTGATCTGGAGGATGAGGCTGTGCGTCGCACAGGAGGAGCGCCCGCGGTGGTTGGGGTCACCGGTGCGGGAGCGCTGGCGCCGGAGGACTCGGGGGCGTTGGGTGGGGCGTCAGCCCTCGCCAGCCCCCGCTTCACAATCGTCCTCACCTGCGGACGACTCCTTCTTGGCGCCGGGTCGTTGCTCGTTGTTTCCTCACTTAGAGTCTGGTTTTGACCTTCTGCCTTAGCCTCACTTGGTGCCTGAGTCGCTTCGGGCTTTGCTGCCTCAGCCGGTCCCTGTGGCGACGTCGGGGTCTTGGCCTTGTTTTTGCCTCTCGTCGAGGCCCAGTTCAAGGCCTGCATGGTCGGCTGGGCGGTCGCGGCGGTCGGCACCTGCGCCGGGACATGCTTTGCACCTTGAGTCGCGGCCTCGCTGGCTACAGGTGTTGCCTGACTCTGAGGCCTTGACTTCACCCACGTTGTTGATGGAAGTGTGACCTGGTTCTTTCGCACTTTAACCCATGGCGGAACTTCGGGAGTTTCATTCGAATTAGCTGGAGCAGCAGCCTGGCTTTGACCTCTCGTCTTGGGCCACGTCTTTGCTGAGGTCGTGGCCTGGCTCTGACTCTTGGCTTTGGCCGAGGTCGTCGATGACGCCGCAGACTGGGCTGGAGCTGGCGTTTTCGCGTGACTTGCAGTCTGACTCTGGCATTTTGTCTCGTTCGAAGTCGCGATCGCAGGCTTGGCAGAAGGCGCGGGACCGCTCGTGCCTTGGGCAGCAGACGGCTTGGAGGGGTTGAATCTGACGGGCGACCAGGAGGGCGACCTCAGGGCGCCGCTTGAAGGCGTGTACGGCGTGGGTGCGAGGAGGAAATTGCTGCTACTTGAGAGAGGTCGATTCCCAACTGTGCAAACCGGGATGTCCGAGGAAGATAAGGATGTTGCCCTGTTGCCTATGCCTCCAGGGACCGTTACGGAGGGGATGTTGGACGAAGAGAACGAGGTCGTCTTTGTACCGAATCCTTCCGCCGCCGTGACACTCGGCACGTTAGAGGTCGAGAGGGACGAATTTCTTAAAGGATATCCCCCTGGACCTGTGGTTGCACTCGAGATTCTGGAGGAAGAGATAGGCTTCGAGCCCCCGAGGAACCGCTTGGCTTCCGCGACGTTGGAGGACGAGAAGGATGTTGTCTTGGCAGGGAATCCCCCGGCGGAAGCTACGAGGCCTATCCTATTCGCATCCTCGCACGATGCGCTTCGACCTATAGCATGCGCGGGTGGCATGTTGTAACTGAGTGTGATATGCAGCGTCGAGACCATCCTGTCCTTGCGCGTCGACACCTGCTCTTTCTCCCAACAGATGTTTGATAGTAAAAATGAAACAGGTGTTCAGCTCTTAATGACGCTGACTGAACAGGTATTTCGTATTTTAATGTAAATGTCCTAAATGCACTCTTCATATATTAATTTTCCCTCAGGACGACGACTGAGGGCGATGTTAACGGGATGCAGCTGGGTGAATTGACGGCTCCATGCTATGGTAAAAAAAAGTGATGATGTGAAAATGACGATGATGACGTCGATGCCGTCGATGTCAGTGCTGAGATTGGATATGGCCAGTATTATACTGAAGGGATGGCGACGATTGCATTTGATGTGACATCAAGTGTGTTACTTTGGGTATCTCCGCGCCTACACAGGGTCTACTCTCTGTCTACCCTCAACGCCCACGCTTACACGAGGGTCTTCTTGGCTCGCCACCAGACGGCGAAGTTGATGATAAACAGGCACTAGCCTCTCCTTGCCCTGCCCCTCCACCCCTGCCCGTGCCCGCCTTCTCCCTGGACCACGTGGTGAGGGAGGCACGGTTCTTGCTCAGGGTAAGAGGGTCACAAGACGCTCGTCAACTACGACCAGGATGCGTCAGACGGAACGACCTTCCTCACTACTACGACCACCACATGGGGCTTAGACGCCCTTTAATCCTTCTCAATTCTACGCCACCGAAGGATACTTTGCACTTTCTTTCCGAACTCCGTCAACTTTTAAGAATCGAACACGAGAAAAAAAAGGGGACAGCACATTCACTGGGAGCAAAAAGGTATTTACAGCAATGGGGACGAGGGTCATCACATGAAGGGAAATCACAGACACGTTTCAAGCTTCCAGAGCACCACCGGTAAGGATCCACAAGGACCCCTTCTAGACCTTCTTTCTAGATCCTTTGCAAACATTCGACGAGCCCCAACACAGCGCACTGCCACCATGCCCGCCCATCCACGCACGCGCACGCACGCTGCCCCACACGTTCCTAGTGACCGACTGC